TTTCCAGGCTTCTCCACTGAGTCATACAAGCTGAAAGGTTCTCTGAGTTTTTGCCAAGGCAAATGCATGTATTTTTTTGACCTCGGGACAAGTTATCATAGAAATATGAAGAGTAGTGTGAGATAGGTTGTAAAACATGGAAACATCTATATCTTAGAGAAACCACTTCATGATCCTTCATGAAAACCAACTCAGAGTCTAGGAAGGAAGAGAAAGGGTACATCAGTCTTTGTTGTACTCAAAATAGCCATGCACATGGACAGAAGGAAAAAATTGCAAAGTAATGAAAGAATGAAAATAAAATTCTGCAGAGATTTGCTTTTTCACTCAGTGTTTATGGTGATACTAGTTAGTGATGGAAGAACTGCAAAAGATTTAGATTAATGGGGTATTAGTTTAGAGTTTCTGCCCAGTTTACATACCTCCAAGTTTCAAATGCATTGCAAAAAATTATCTACATTTTTGTGTCTGCAAAAGCTGAGCTAGATTCTTCCTTAGGAGAGACTATTTGATAATGCATCTTGTGATTCGTTTTCTGGAAACTAAATCTGCAGTTAAGTTTAAACTTGAAGGATTGGGAATGAGGGTGTGCATGAGGAAAGACTGTACAGAGAAAGAGGTAACATAACTCTCTCTATAGCCAAGTCCCAAAATATAACAATAGGTGGTTGTGAAATTGTTGAGCTGTTTGTTAGGTAACCTGAAGAATGTGTATCTTTGCCTGCTTGAAAAACATTAAGAAAACTTGCTATTTATTATCCTGTATTGAAAATCACCCTGCTTTATGATGTCTGTTTACTCTAGAGCTACTTTGTTTGGTTTCCTTTGTGCATATTCAGTCTTTATGTTTCTTTTAATCCAGATTTTAGGGTGAGTGCTTACAGCTCTTTATAGTCTGTACTAGTCTGTACCTAACACCAATCCAAGGAAAGTTTTGAGTGAACTGGGCACAAAAATTTACATTGGAAACCTTCTTTTCAATCAATGCTATTTCATTGAAAGCAAAATTTCCTCCAGAATGTGTTAACTTTATAAAAAGAATTGTCACCAAAAAAAAAAATTAAGATTAAAACTTTAGTGTTTTTAATGACACATGATTCCTTTATTCCTTTTTTTTTTTTTTGAATGATTCTCATTTTAAAATATATTTTCAGTTCTGTAGTGAAACACGTTCTCTAATGTCAAAATGGAGTAGAGGGTAAGCAGGGGAAAGGTCTGATGCCAGTATTTGTTCCTATTCATTATCAAAACAAAATGTGCCAATTCCTTATGGAATGGACAGTTTGAGACACAGTGGGCAGGAATCATCTCTTCAGCTGTTTCTGTCATAATCCCTTGATTTGGGTAAGAAAGGTCTTGTGCTGATGAAGTTCATGTCACCAGTAGTTTCAGAAAGAGAACCCACTTGACTGGGCTGTGTCACCAAGAGCATGACCCTCATGTGGCACATGTGGCTTTGTAGCACTTGGGCTGTCTGTGCCCAGAACATGGGGGCGTATTGCAAACCAGATTACCCAGTGGTAGGGCAAAATGTCTGGTCCCAGCTGGAGACATAGAACTGGATCCCTGTGCAGAAATACACTGTTTGACATTGGAGGAGTTCTCAAAAACAGTTTCCATGTGATATAGGAAGGGGAGAAGGTTTATTGCAAGCTTTTCCCCGAATTTATATGCTCACACTTACTTTGGATGAATAACCAGTGCCTCTGTCCAAGAGATTATCTTGCCTGTGTGATTTAAATTGTCTGAAAATTGAAGAAGCAAATTATTACTTCAAACTTGGTCAAAATGCTGAGCCAATTAAGCTTTTAAGTTGTATTATTCTTGGTCTCCCTACAAAGAAAATTAAGGTAACAACATTGATGTGAATTTCTCAAATGTCTGGACATTTATCTCCCATTTAGAATCTGAGACTCCTCCTCTTCAGAAAGACAAGAGACTCTAACATCACTAACTTGTAAAACTGGAATTAGAAAATACATTTTATCCTGCCATTTTAAGTAATTGTAGCATGCTCCTCATAAAGACAAGGTATATATGTGAACTTCAGGTAATAATACTGAGCATCAAGCACAGGATGTGAACAAAACCTATCAGTGTTGTGGGATTTTATCCTAGTTTTATTGGTCAATGTTATCCAAACCTTGCTGGTAGAAAGCTTGTAAAAAGGCTGACATTGAACCTTCACCCTCACTGTGCATTGATCAGCAGTGCTGCATTTGCTCAGGGAATGCTATGGAAGTCTTTGTGGAGAAACTTATCCTACACAATACCAAAACCATCATAAGCGAATTTTATGGTTCTTCATTGTAATCCAACATTCCATAACACTTGGAATTTATCTGTATGCACTCTTAAAGAACTCTTCCCAGTGGGCTTCTTTCCTTCTCTATCCCTCTCCTAATGGTTTAGGTGTGAAATAGTTAACACTGGCATTCTCAAAGGTTGTCCAAGCAAAGCTGAGTCACAAAAATGGTTGCCATTGCTTCAGTTTTTCTGTTGCAGATTCTAGACTACAACTCTATGCATGTTAAATGGAAAGAGAAGTTAATTTTTGCAGCCATAAACATTCGAGAATTTTTTTCAAGCAAAGGCTCAGATTTCATGATGCTTCTCACATGCCCCATCATTTAGGGACATGTCTGACACTATTGAAAAAACAGAGAGCAGCTGTGCTCCTGAACATACTAATTTTCTGTGCCACTGTAGCCAGGACTGTGGTAGATTTTAAACTCTGTTCCAGAGGCTCTGAGTCCCAGCCAAGGTCCTGCAGAGCTGGCTGGATTTTTCCATTTAAAGCTTGTTCTCGTCCCCAGATGGCTTTGCATCGCACTGGCTGGCAGCAGCAGGTGCGTGAGTGCCGAGTCATGCCACGGGAAAGGATCACAAAATAGAAATATTTCATTCTCTGTGGCTTGGTATCATAGATGAGTTTGGGACAGCAATGCTTTCTCTTAAGGTAATCCGAACCTGTGAAGCTCTTCTCCATAGCACTGAGATAATACACTCAACAATGTGTCCCCAAGCACAGGTGGCATTTCTCAGTCCAGTTTACATTTGTATTTGTGAGTTACAGATTGTTTGATTAACCTCAAATTATTTGTTATTGCCAGGCAAATGCTCACCTTGAAATTCCTGTGTGATTCTGTACCATCTCAGGTGCAGTCTGTATTTTTTTTTAGTAGGAGTGACTTCTTTTTTTCATGATGCGTGAAAGTTTTATGGAAGTAAAGCTAAGTATTTCCAGCATTTTGAAAAGTATCTTTATGGATCTTTCCTATTCCAAGGTAGCATGATTGGCATGTTCAACACTACCTTGTCATCATTCTGACCTGTTAGATTTTTTTTTTTTTTACAGTGTTTTTGTGATAATGTCATGGGAATGTAGCAATTGCCAAAGCAATGGCAATCAAACACTTGATAATTCTATGCTGCTTGGGCTCTGGTTTTCTGTTGCCTATATCCTCAGCTGCTGCATTCAAAGACTTTCTTATACATTTAACATTTGAGGTATGATGTAGAAACTGCCTCAAAAATGTCGGTTATTCTTGGGTACAAAAACTATCACAAGATTGCAGTGGCCCCTAATCCACTACCTTTAATTTACTAGTGATTCTTAGTGAAACACTTCACAGAGGAGTGGAAAGTTGGCAAAAAATACAGTCTTCAAAATTTGGCTCCAGCTGATTTGTACCTAGAAGCAAAACTTGTATTATCTTTTACAACTGGCTAATTAAGTCCTGTGTTTTTAGCCCTCAACTAGATGGGGTAACAAGACAAACCTTGTTAGCAGATTTGCTGGCCAAATATGGAGCAGTTTCATATATCATTCTGACTACTTTATACTTGTGCTCTTAAAGGATGTATGCAACTAGTCTAATGAAATGTCTGTATGTATGAGAGGAAAAAAAAGAAACAGTTTTCAGATATCTCCCTCTGTTGATCTGTCTGCCTGTGTCTCTGTTCAGTGAGTAGGGTAAAACTCCCCTTTCATTTTTTTTCAATGTTTCTTGGACTCTTACCAGCAGGTTTTTACAGTCTGTTGCCTGCCTCTCAGATTAGAAGAACACTGGCATATTTTAACAGTTTCCTAGGATCCAAATAGTCTTTAATTAACAGGGAATTGATGTTTTGGAGTGCAACCAATATAGGAGACACTGAAAGCAGAGAATGAACTTGGATCCTTCCAGCTTGTAGCTGGCTGTGGGCAGGGGCAAACAAATAAGCAAAATAGGGTCTGCTGCAAACAGGTAGTGCCTTATTGGTATGCAACGGGATTTCTTCATTTGCATTACGTTCCCACAGAGCTGATGGTTAGCTGGGAGGAGCTTTCTGCTGCACAGAGTCTAAATCAGCTCCACCCCTTGCAAAGAGCAAAAAGTGTTCGTCAGTACCTTCCCAAAAACAGAATCCCAGTGGCTCCTGAAACTATTATTTTTAGGTTTGTATTGATCAGCTGTTGAGGCAGCAAGGTAGGTTTTGTTTGTGAGGTTCAGGTTGAAATGGAAGCTGTTGGCTCCATGAGTGAGCATTTAATTAAAAACATCAGAAGTCCTCAAATAACATGACTTTGCTGAGCTGAATAGCAAGTTGTTCTTTATTGTTTTAAGCAATCTGCCTTTGTAGGGTTGAGCAACAGGGTAGGGATGAAACACTGAAATTATAAGAGAATGAGACTAGCTGAAGCTTTCAAGGGAAGTTAGACATATGCTGAACTGTAGTTCCAGATTGTCCATGGAATAAATGGTTTATAAGGTAATTCTAATCACAATAGACTGAAACCTGAAGCAATAGCTGGCAAAGAACTATAACCAACTCAGTCATCGAGTTAGCTGTGGTTTTTTTTCAGTAATGCAGTAATTTTAAGACAAGTCAAAATGTATTTGTTTGATCCAACACTGTCTTTTTATTGCTGCTGTGTATGCGTGCGTGTGTGTGTGTTGGCTTTTATCCTCCCCCCTTGCACTTGCTGAAAGCCTTCTGTCTCTTTGTACGTGTAGGTGGTACATGCCAGAGCCCTGCTCTTCCAGCCCTTGTGCGTCCTCCTGCGCCACCCTTGCAGCCATCGCTGGATATCAAGCCGTTCCTGCCGTTTCCTCTGGACACTGCCGCAGCAGTGAATCTCTTCCCCAACTTCAATGCAGTAAGTACACTCCCAGCAGTTACACCGAGCCACGGATTCCCTGGAAGAGTCAAGAGGGCTCAAAGCAGAATTTTATGTACTCCATTAAAGCTGGAGTATCCTCTCCCTTACTGAGGGCCAAATAGCTCTTTCAGACACGCTGATAGGCTGCAAGTTGAAGCCTACCTGAGTGTTAGTCAGAAGAAATGTAGAAGGAAAAAAATTATATGATGCCGAGTGACATGCAGTAAAGTTTCAGGCCATATTCAGTCCCAGGGCTTGTGAATTTCCCACAGTAATTTAGGACGTGCAGAGCTTACAATTCACTGCAACTCTCAGAGAAGGAAAGTTTCAGAGCAATGGGATACTACATCCCATCTCCAACACACTTCCTGAGAAATACTAAAAATTTACAGATCCTAAAGAAGAAAATTCTGTTGGGGATAATAAAGTAAGAATGAGAACACTCTTAGCTGCTGTATAAGCTATTCAGTAGCAAACAATCCAGGGTACTTTTTTCAGGTTAAGATGTGTTATTCCTTATGTCTTAGGTTTAAACTAGGATAGATTTCTCCCTTTTTTCTGTGTTTTTAGTCATGCTGTGTATGATTATAGAAATCCCATTCCTTCTTAGTATTTTAATTATTTTACTGACATATTTCATCAATGTTCCAATTTTCCTGTTTCAGGCTGAGGTAATTAATCTTTAAAAAAAAAAAGGGTCTACATTGGTTTTATGTTAATTTTGACTTTATAGAATTATGCCCCTTTTCAATTACTTTTGGATGCTCTTTTCCTTATTTACATATACTCAGTTTACAAAAAACCCTCTTAAGAACATGTATGCTTACCTACTTTGCCAGACACAGAGGGGGTGGAATTTTCCATTCTGAACCAATTCTAATTGACATGCAGAAATCTTAATTAAAATAAAAAAACCCAAAAAACTACAAGCTACAAGTCTTGAAATGTACAGGAACAATATGTCAACGAACTACTGTGACAAGTAAACTTCTTTAAATTTAAAAAGTGTGTTCGTATGCTGCAAGGTTTTAAAATATGCTGGGTTTAACCAAGCTACTGATAACCCATCATGAAATGGATACAACTTTAGGCTTTTTGTGTGCTTTAGGGTTGAGATCTTTTAACCAATTGTGCCTTGTGATCACTGTTTGTAGTTAATACAATACACTAGCTGGATTTTTAAAAGACATCTATTAGAATTTCTTGTATTTTTTTTTCTCAGGATTTTCCATGGTTCAGAGTCCTCAGATTGTTTGGCTAATTGTTTAATTATATAACTGAAATGGAATTTTAATGATGAATGTTAATAATTGTTAATCCTGTGTTACTCTATAAATTTCCAGTCTCTTTCTTCTTACACAGACTGCTTTGCTACTATAATTATTTTGAGGGAGGGGTGGATAAGTCATGCTCATATTAATTTGGAAGTAAGAAAGTAAAAACAGACTTATATCAAAACCATGTTATTCCTGAACATTATTTTAGTAGCATATAATTTGGTAAGAGCACTGGTAAAGTGAGCCTAGTTTTCAGGAGTGAGACTTGAACCCTTTTTAACAGCACTCTGAAGTCTGTTCCCATGCAAAATACTGCTTCCTGTGATGTGTGGCCATCTGCCAAGTCCACCTTTGGCAGATATGTCAGTCCTGAGTGTGAGGATGCTGTCATCAGAGCTGCTGTCACCTGCCTTGCTGCTCACAGTTTATGCCTTGCAAAGTGACCTCTGCCTTCTCATCATGTGTGCTGACATGCAGCGTCATCCTCCGTGTTCCCATTTTCTTTGTGAACAGCACATTATTGAACGCTGCTATGTTTAGCTCATATGCCAGGGATGGTTAGCAGCAACCTCCAAATGTATAGACTAGCTGAGTAGTTTTGCATCGTTCCAGAAATTCTCTCCAAAGCTGACTAAAGTTTTGGGAACACATCAGCTGCTGACCGTTATCAGTCCCAAGAAGAAGGGAACACACACATTGTGTTAGACTTTAAACAGAGCTTCTGACAGGGGCTTCAGTATGTGAATGTGTGAGAGCAAAAAAGTGTTTAAACAAAAAATTATCTTCATAAATATGTCTCTTCATGATGTTGATGGTGCTTTATCTTCATAGACTTCACTGACAATCCTACACAGTGTCAATGGAGAATCATTTATGTTCTGTGGCTAAACCCAGGTCAAGCAAGTGGTCCATAACAGAATACCTGAACTGGATGTTCTCTCTCATGTTGTCAGTAAATTAGCATTTCCTTTGAATGAGACACCAGGGTCATAAATTGAGTCATAGGAAATTGACCCTCTTGACCCTCACACAATTCCAGAGGAACAAATGTGTTTGGCAGCATGTCTGGACTACTTCCCAAAAGGCTAGAAGGAAGTCTAGTATTTTGGCCATTTTTTGGCCACTTTTCAATAGCTTTCACTTGAGAACAGCATGACTAAGGGGAAACTTGAATAAAAGTTCAGGCATGTTTCAGAGAAAATAAGTAGTCTCTGGCAATCCTGATTAGCATGAGAGTTTGATTGTGATGGACATAGGCATCTGAGCTAATCACCCTAAGATTCTTCACAAAATATAATGGAGAAAAATCAGCAATTTCTCCAAGTTATGCATGGATAAAAATGCACAAAGATAGCTTGGAATGCAAGCTATATGTCTACTTTGGCATGAAGTGAAGTGAACCCTGAAAGTTCTCATTCATCTATTCAGACTATAATGAGGGACTGGCTCAGCTGCATCTACATTTAGATGAATCCCACATTATGGGACAGGTCATAAGCTATTCATAGCTTATATATTAAATTCCACTCAGAAATCAGATGACAGAAGTGCTGACATTGTATTGTGTGTTTACAGAGGAATGCTCTCATTTATTAAGAAGTTATTCTTCTAATTTTATCTAAAGACAATCTTCAGGGAATTTGAGGATTCAGATGAAGTGGATAGAAATATTAGGAGAGCTGAAAGCAAAAGTAACTTGCCAGTGAAGAAAGTCAGACGAACATAAGAACTAATAAAACCAAATGGTAACCTTAAGTATTGGAAATATTCCTAGTAAGGTGTATTTTATAACATTTTTCACTCTATTTCAGTTTGTTACAAACATAAGATTTCTTTTTTTGTTACTGATGGCTTTGCTCTAAAAGAAATTCAGTTTTTGCCAGCTGCCTCTGAAGAAAACATTCATCACTGATTTCCACAAAGGCAAGAGCTTTCGTTGAAGCAGAGACTAGAAGAGATAATGTGGAGTATGCAAACCTTTATCATTAATATCCCCAGAGAGAGTGTAGAGGGAAAAGTTAAAATCTGAGTAACCTGAGAAAAGTTAGGAAGATAACGTTTGAACCTTCGAACCATTCATTTTCAGGAGGAAAATTTTCTATTTATACAAGAACGCATAAAGCAAACATAGCAATTAACAATCTGGTTAGCTGAACATTTGTAGGTGCTATGCTCTTAATTGTGAAGCAAATGGGTACCCTCAAGTCACATGTAAAAGGAAATTGTAACAACACAGCTGTTTAAACTGAAAACAGCCCACTGGAACAGACCCTGAAGAATCCCAGGTTCACTGCAAGTTTATCTGATCTAATAAGATTAATCAACTGGATGGGATTTAAATGGCTAAATTTTATTTAATGAGAGACTCTATGGCTGTTAAAATGCTTATGTAGCTTTTTCAAATATGATTTGAAAATTTTCAGAGGAATAGAAAAATGATTAAATTGTTCTGAAAATAGTTTGAGATCACTTAGCAAACATTTATTGTATTTCTGCATTTTCATCTGCAGAGAGAGAAGTTGTAAGTCTGTTATACTTCTAAGAATTAGTTCTTAGAGATGCAAAGCTTTAACAGTTGTATTAAACATGTACTGGTCTTTGCATGTGAATATGCATATTCTGTTCATGAGCTGATGGTTTGTTGCAGAGAAATTTAACAAAGCATTGAAGTCTAGAAGTTAATTAACTTGCAGAACAATATTGATGGGTCTGTGGTCTAAGAGGAGATCCTTATTTTCAAGACATCAGCATCAGCCCTAAGCTGATGGACCCTATGACAGACAAAAATCTCATGTAGACCTTTTTTGTGGTCTCCAAAGCACAGATGCATCATCAACTGGGTTTTGCCTATTTCCAAAGCTCTCAGAATTATATACTTCAGCCTCCTGAGCAGGAGACAGAATTTAAAACTAAAAATGCAGGACATTTGCATTACAAGGTAGAAAATCGGACAGTGAATTGCACTCCTCGTTTGTTTATTCTTTGAAGGATATGCTGACAATTTTTCTGAAGAAATTATAAAAAAATATTTTATCACACTTTGTAGAGCACAATCTGTAATGGAAGAGGTACACAGTATAGAAGACCTAAAAAAATGCTTGAAAGCATAAATAGTGATGTTGTTTGAAAAGCTCCATCCCTAACTCCAAATGAAAGCCTTGTTGCTAACAGAAGTTTCCCAAATAAACATCCTTTGGAAGGAATCATCACTACAGTTTTGACTAGAAAAGTATGACTTGGAAGAACAGTGGCAATGTCAGAGTTGTACTAAACATGGATAGAAAATGAGCTGTTACTCTACAGACATGTTTCTCATGATCCATCTGTGGTAATCCTTGTTCAGTTCCCTGATTTTCCGGTTTGCTTGTTCTATGCTAATAGCCCCAGATGCATTATCAAGAGCTTCCTATTTCACCTTCCCCTGGTTATGGGAAAGGAGGAGGAGGAGGAGTTAACAGTATCTATTGCCCATAGGTTGGGACTCCACTGGCAGCTTGGGTTAGAGTGCCAATGTGGCACTCCTTGATTCCTGGAAACCACCCTGTGCAGCAACCCTAGCAGCTTCTAGGGCAGCACAAAGGCTGCGCTATTCATAGAGGTGAAGCTCGTGTTTGTAGATAGGTGTAGTCTTCCCCTTTTGTGGCCAGACAGCTGATAGAAATGGACAGTGTGGAAAACCTGCTTGCTGGGAAGTATTTCTGGGAAGGGTTATGCCAGGAA